GATAGTCACTAAATAGAATATATAATAGACATTAATTCGAATTTGTGACTATCACTAAATACCATTTGCGTCCCACCTCGACTGCCATATTCGTTCGTGTGTGTGTGTGTGTGTGTGTGTGTGTGTGTGTGTGTGTGTGTGTGTGTGTGTGTGTGTGTGTGTGTGTGTGCGTGAGCGTGTGAGTGTGTTGGCGGTGTTTTACCGTGTTTTACCGACGATTTCTGCGAACTGGCCGCTGCACATGTCGTGACGGCGTGCGCTAATGTACCTGTGAGCGGCATGTGTACACGTTACATCGCCTCTGCAAACATTGTCCTCCGCTACTGTGTGTCGGTGAAGCAGCCATCAACAGCAGGAGGAAGAATGGTAGAAGGTAGAAGCCGGTGACAGAAACGTGTGTGTGTCGCTATGCATGTATTACAGAGCGTGATGGCGCTCGGCTGATACCCCACCCCGTTCACGGCCCCGACGGTCGAGATAGTTACAGAGGATTGTGCTGAAACATGAATAAATTAGGCGCTCTCGAACGACGTCGTTTTGTTGAACGTGTTACGCGCACTTTTCTTGTAAAGGGTAGCTGCATTAGCTCAGCCGAAGCTGGGTGAACGGGGCAACTGTGGTCGCCAATCCGGTAGCAGCGTTTCCCATGTATAATTCAGTTGATAAATATGAAGCGGATCCCGTCTGCCGCATTTTTCCCGCGCGCGCCGCGTTGGTTGAGTGGCAGCGCCGGGGAGAAAAGCGCTGCGGCAGTGTGCACGCGGCGGTGGTTTGCTGTGATTGAGAGTATGATTGGGGTCGAGGGTTGCCGGCTGCTGCTATTGAACTCGCTTGTTACCTGTGCGCGTCGATTACTGCACCTGAGCTTCAGCGATACAGAACCTTGTAGAGGCTTTTAAATACTTGTGCGTGCGTGCGCGTGTGTGAGTGTGTGCGTGCGTGTGTGCGTGCGAGTGTGTGCGTGCGTGTGTGCGTGCGAGTGTGTGCGTGCGCGTGTGGGTATGTACGCGCTTGCGTGCGTGATTGTGTGCGTGCGTGCGTGCGCGTGCGTGTGTGCGCGCGTGCGCATGTACATGTGAGTGCGTGCGTGCGTGCCTGCGCGTATATGTGAGTACGTGCGCGCGTATACACGCGCAAGTCTATCGATGCTTGTGTGCGCGTACATCTGAGTGCGCGCGTGCGTGCGCGCCTATATATGTACGTTCGTGCGTGCGCGTACACGCGTTGGGTGGGAGGTGGGGGCGGTAGGAGATAGACAGGCCATGAGCGAACACAGGTGCAAGCTCAGTCACTATAGCTGCTGTCAGCACGATCATATAATTATTATCTACTAAATATGCACAGAGTATAGAAATGTATGATGTATAAATATCATAAATATGTATGAGTCTTGATATGTATGATGAGTAGATAAGTATATACAGATATGTACATGCGTGTGTGTGTACATGCGTGTGTGTGTGTGTGTGCCTGTCGTGGCTGTCGCTGTGTTGTGTGTGCGTGTTGTGTCTTCGTCGTGGTGTCCCCGTCGTTCCCGTACATTGCGTGTTCCCGTGTGTACATTGCCGTTTCGTCCGTGTTGTTGACTGATGTGTTGTGTTAACCATCGTGTGCTGTCGTACAGCAGCGACGTGTTTCTGTGGCTCACCTGTGCGTGCTCCGCCTGTGTGTGTGTGTTGTTGCCCTGTGTGTGTCGCTGTGTTCCCGCTGTGTGCTGTGGCCTCGTGCATGTGTGCTCTTGTGCCTACATACTTGCTCACGCTGTCCGTCGTGTACATGGTTCGTGTGTCGTGTGTGTGTGCTGTACAATCTGCGTGTCGTGTCGTACACCGCCGGCGTGTGTCGTACACCCTCCCGCGTGGTTCGTGTGTTCACACTAGCGTGTGTCTGTGGTGATGTGCTGCTGTCGCTGTGCTGTGTGTGTGTAGTGGTGTCGTGTGTGTGTGTGTGTGTGTCGTACATGCGTGCTCTGTGTGTACATGCATGTGTGTGTGTGTGTGTGTGGTCGTGTGTTGTGTGTGTGTGTGGTGTGTCGGTGTGGTGCTGTCGTCGGTGTTACATGCGTTGTGCTCGTGTACATTCTCGCCGTGTGTGGTGTGTGTGTGTTGTGTGTGTGTGTGTGTGTGTCGCCTGTGCGTGTGTGTGTGTGTTTGTGTGTCACATGCGTGTTGGTGTGTACATGCGTGTGTGTCTGTTCGTTGTGTTTCGTGATGTGTACATCGCGTTCGATGTGTGTAATCCCACCCTGCGCCCTGCTGTGTGTCATCTGCCGCTCTGTCGTGCTGTGTGTGGTGTTCTCGTGCTGTGTGTCGTGTGTGTTGCTGTGTCGTGTGTTCCGTGTACCTGCGTGTGCGTCGTACACTTCGTGTGTTCGCCCTGTGTGTGTGGTGTGTGTAATGCGTGTGCTCGTGTCATCACGCCGCTGTGGTGTCTTCTCGCTCACATCCGTTGCCTTGTGTGTAGCCCATCGTGTGTGTATCGTGTGTGGTGTGTGTGTGGTGGCGTGTGCCCGTGTTGTGTGTGTGTGTGTCGTTGTTGATGTGCACATGCTGTGCCTGTGTGTACACCTCGCATGTGTCGTGTGTCGTCCGTGTTTGTGTTGTGCTGTGTTGTCTCGTGTGTTGTGTGTGTGGTGTGTGGTGTGTGCTGGTGTTCTCGGTACACTGTGTCGTGTGATAGCATCTCTGTCGTGTCGCTGTCGCCTGTCCACATGGCGTCGTGTGTGGTGTACAGCGTGTGTGTGTAACATGTGTGCTGTACTCGTTGTGTGCTCCACATGCGTGTGTCGTGTCACTACTCCATGTGTGGTGCTGTGTGGTGTGTGTGTGTGTGTGTGTTGTGTGGTGCTTGTCGTGTGTGTGTGTTGTGTGTCGTGTCGCCTGTACATGCGTGGTGTGTATCATGCGTGTGTGTGTACACCCCTCCTTGCGTTGGTGTAGATCCGTGTGTGTGTGTCGTGCTGTGTGTGTGTGTGTGTGTGTGTGTCTGTGTTGTTCGTGTGTGTGTGTGTGTGTGTGTGTGTACATGCGTGTGTGTGTACATGCGTGTGTGTGTACATGCGTGTGTGTGTACTTGCAGTGCATGCGCTGCGGACCCGGCGGCGTCGGTCAGTGCTTCGGACCGGACATCTGCTGTGGCGCCACCATCGGCTGCCACCTGAAGAGCCGCGAGAGTGCGCCATGTGCGGCCGAGAACAGCATTCCTGTGTCGTGCGAGGTCGGCACACCGCCATGCGCCGACGGTGCCGGCAGATGCGCAGCCGACGGTCTCTGCTGCAGCGAAGGTATGGCGTCATTAACGTCGTCGTCATCGTCGTCGCCGTCGTTGTCATAGTCGTCGTCGTCGCCGTCGTCGTCGTTGTCATTATCGTTGTCGCTGTTGTCGTCATCATCATCGTCGTCGTCGTTGTCATCATGGTCGTTGTCATCATTATCATCGTTGTCGTCATTATTGTCGTCGTCATCGTCGTCATCATCATCACCATTGTCGTCATCATCATCATCATCATCATCATTGTCGTCATCATTATCGTCGTCATCGTCATTATTATTACGTTCAGCAGTCATTATTTCCATACTGCCTATATTTTCACACACGGGCGGTAAAAGCAACCGGACAATATAACTATTGTTATAAACAATAACATTGTCCTTTTCGAATTCGAATCCCTCTTTTGAATACGTAGCAAATATTAACCTCATTACACGCGCTGTATGTGTACGCTGCGATGTACGGTATTAATGGTAAAATACGTGATAAGAAGCGCATGCGCACGCGGCTACAGCGGCGGCAATAACTGATCTACCCCCCTGAGGTGATCAGCAAAGCTCCCTTGCTAATTATTATCGTTGCGAAAAAAACAATTCTCGGCTGTCAAGTGCCGCAAAAATCGACATTTTGGCGCGTAAACGTGAGAATCACAGTCAGCGAGCTTTACCGCCCCCGCAACGACACCAGGGGGCGTGGTAAAACGGATAGATCAATTAGGGAAGGATTAAAATTCGCATTAGCATAGACATGAAAAAAGAGAACATATAAGATAGATATTATATAATGGTCGCTAATGAAGCTCCAGGGCAATGTTAGCATAGGTGTTAATAAAGAAAACAAAATGTACGCTCCTATCGTTATACCAGAACATGATACAAATATGACTTCCACGAATATGACACAATAATTAAACAAATACGTGACCGCGTCATTAAAGTAAATATTGGTGGTGCACAATAGTCAACGATGCATCATGATCACAGCAAACAAGTTGAACAAAAGGCTGCACGCCCAGAAACGCATGCGTATATACGGCCGTTAATTCGCTTCATCACGATGTATCAGGATATGATAATATAATATAATCGAATAATATATAATATATCTATATAATACATAGAATATATATATATATATAATATAATCGAACAGGATGTGTCAGAAAAAAGACAGTTAAACGGATACATGACCCTAGATTCCTTGCATATATTCAGTTAAAACAGGGTTAAATTGCACTGCATCAAAAAAATTTCATTGTTCAATATTCATTAGAAATATTTTTTAACGTTTTAAAACTAACTGCTGTATCGTAATCATAATGTAATATAAAAGTTGTAGGTATATACTATTATTTATGCCCTTACTATCATAATATACCCTAAAATTCTAGGGTGTAGTTAAGCTACTCTTGAAGGCTCCCGCTTTCGGCCAAGTACAGACTACGTGGGAAAGATCTCGTCAGGCTGCGATATACATGTATTTGTGTGTGTTTGTTATAAACATGTGTAAACAGATGTGTAAACCGTACACAATGAGATGAGATCAATCAGCAGTGTTGATGGCTGAAGGTCCGATAGACCGAAGATTATGTGTTCAAGGTGTAAAGATGCATTTTCGAATACGCAGTGGCTACGCGTTTAGCGCGTGCTATCATATCTTTATCACAATGCTATCATATCTTTATCACGGTGCTATCATATCTTTATCACGGTACTATCATATCTTTATCACAATGCTATCATATCTTTATCACGGTGCTATCATATCTTTATCACGGCTACACTATCATATCTTATGTATTCATTCCTTTATCACGGTACTATCATATCTTTATCACGTGCTATCATATCTTTATCACAATGCTATCATATCTTTATCACGTACTATCATATCTTTATCACGGTACTATCACGATCATTATCACGTATTCGTATCTTTATCACGGTATCTTCTATCTTTAATCGACAATGCTATCATGATCTTTATCACTGTACGTACTCATATCTTTATCAGCGTGCTATCATATCTTTATCACAATGCTATCATATCTTTATCACGGCTACTATCATATCTTTACCACGGTGCTATCATATCTTTACCACAATACTATCATATCTTTATCACAGTACTATCATATCTTTATCACGGTACTATCATATCTTTATCACAATGTTATCATATCTTTTTCACAATGCTATCATATCTTTATCACGGTACTATCATATCTTTATCACGGTACTATCATATCTTTATCACGGTACTATCATATCTTTATCACGGTACTATCATATCTTTATCACGGTGCTATCATATCTTTATCACAATGCTATCATATCTTTATCACGGTACTATCATATCTTTATCACGGTGCTATCATATCTTTATCACAATGCTATCATATCTTTATCACGGTACTATCATATCTTTATCACGGTACTATCATATCTTTATCACAATGCTATCATATCTTTATCACGGTACTATCATATCTTTATCACAATGCTATCATATCTTTATCACACGGTTACTATCATATCTTTATCACGGTACATATCATATCTTTTCACGGTTACTATCATATCTTTATCACAATGTTATCATATCTTTACCACGGTGCTATCATATCTTTAACACGGTGCTATCATATCTTTACCACGGTGCTATCATATGTTTATCACAAAGCTATCAGACTGCCGAATTGAAAATATCCACGAGCTAGTAATGCACTTCCATCCTATACTTGCCGTACAGAGCGACTTACGAGATCCTAGGCAGAAAACGCCGTGGCGAGCGCTTCAAACTTAGCGGCCAATTATGTTTAGCATATAGTAAGCACATGCTGCTGATGTGCAAACACAACTAACAGACAAACACGCGGGAAACTTCATAGACAGCGAGCGAGCGAGATGGATCTCTTCTGACGCGTTGGATATGCCAAGTAAATTACACACGCCATCGCACGGCGGCAAAATAATGTCAGAATATAATTTTCCCACGAAAACCTCAGTTGCTTTTCATCTCATTATGTCCCGCACTTACGTGTGTGGTATTGCTGTCACCGCGCGCCAACGCCAAGTGGCTTTGAGATTGTTTTTACTTGGATTATTATACCGTGAAAGGACACGAGTTCCTGAGATTAATACGTGTTAATTTTTACTTAAATTAATACGTGTTAATTATTACGTGCTAATTATACGTTAGGCTATTCTATTACGCTTTTCTTTAAGTGAACACGTGCATCCAGCTCGAGTACGGGCTAGTGTACTATACTTAGAGACTTTGCATATGCGCGCGCGGAGCAATAATAATTAAAAAGTCCTGTTTATTTAATTGTTTTCGTTTTTTTTTGCTCAATTTTTGGCGAGTTTTTGGTAAGTTTCATTATCATTCACGCAGGCGTTACCGTATAGAGATTAAAGCATTATGTCATCTAGTCCCGTAACTCGGTCCTGGGTATTCTCTATATAGCGTGCTAGCGGTCACGTGTAATTGGTGGACACGCCTAAATTCACATTAATATACATATATGTATATATATAGTATATATATATACATATATGTACACGCCTAATTCACATATATACATATAATATATATCAATAGCGTGTTAGAAGTCTTAATACGCTCTTGTTATATATATTATTTATATATATGACATTGTATAATATGTATTACATACATATTATATAATATATATATATATATATATATATACGCCTAATTCACATATGTAGGATTAAAGCCGCGTTCACACGTAGCAAGATATCCGGTATTTAGCGTTCACACGAGCCAAAATACGAGGGCCAAGAAATACGGTATCATAAACAGAATCCGGTATTTCATGTAAAATACGGAGGCTTCCCAGACCCGATAATTTGCCGTGCTTAGAAATACCGGATTTCTTGGGACCGCGCATTTCCTCATGTGAACGCCTAAATACCGGATTTCTGAAGCCGCGTCTTTATAGACTGGTCGCGCTCGACAGTTCCAGCTGTAATGCGAGTGGAACTGTCGAGCGCGGCACCAGTCTACGTATTTTATCGGCAGTTGGTGCGCATTGCATTGTTTATTCGCATTGTTCGCTTTGATCGTTTAAAAGCAGCTCGCAGCTCGCAAATACCGTATTTCTGGAGCCCGCGAATCAGCGTGTGAACGCTCGGCCGCGTATTTGTCTCAGATACGGTATTTCGCCAAAATTCTGGTATTTCAGAAACGACGAGTCTCGTGTTGAACGAGGCTTAAAGCCTGCCATCTAGTCGCGTAACTCGTTCTGCGGCTATCTCTATATATACCGTGTTAGGGACAGCTGTATGAAATGGTGTAAAGAGTGGAATAGATAAATTGCTAGCGTTTCTGACTCTTTGTGATCGATAGGTAGATAGTTGACCTGTGAGGTCGTTAGTTAGCGCCAAATGCCGCTTGTTTATCGATAGGTAGATAGTTGACCTGTGCGGTCGTTAGTTAGCGCTAAATTGCCGCTTGTTATCGATAGGTAGATAGTTGACCTGTGAGGTCGTTAGTTAGCCGCTAAATGCCGCTTGTTATCGATAGGTAGATTAGTTGACCTGTGAAGTCGTTAGTTAGCGCTAAATGCCGCTTGTTATCGATAGGTAGATAGTTGACCTGTGAGGTCGTTAGTTAGCGCCAAATGCCGCTTGTTATCGATAAGGTAGATAGTTGACCTGTGAGCGTCGTTAGTTAGCGCCAAAATGCCGCTTGTTTATCGATAGGTTAGATAGCTGACCTGTGAGGTCGTTAGTTAGCGCCAAAATGCCGCTTGTTATCGATAGGTAGGATAGTTGACTGTGAGGTCGTTAGTTAGCGCCCAAATGCCGCTTGTTATCGATAGGTAGATAGTTGACTGTGAGGTCGGTTAGTTAGCGCCAAATGCCGCTTGTTATCGATAGGATAGATAGTATGACCTGTGAGGTCGTTAGTTAGCGCCAAATTGCCGCTTGTTAGCGCACAAGAAACCACGACAGACGTGTGTGCCAGAAAACACCATCTCAAATG